TATGTTGAAGTGAAGTATCTACCTATTACGAATATTCACTAAAAATTCAACAGCCATGTTTATATTAATGTAATCACATGAAAATCAATTAGGTACATATTTATAAATTAGTATAAAAAAGATTTTGCAAAAATGTAGTATAAACTTTGGCAAATAATTAGTAATTGCATATATTTTAGAACCTTTTGAAACGTGTTCAACACCTGTCATTCAGATAATTTCTTATTCCCTACTTACATACAAATCCGAGCCCTARTTTTAACCTTAATAATATATGACATAAATTTAGACGCACAGTAATAATTTTAGCACAATAAAAACAATTTAACACGCATTACATACATTCAAATCAAGCAACATCTAACTCCAAACTTCCAAAATTGAATTTCTGACAAATTTGTCTTGTCTCTTGAGCTTGAATAATTCGGCAGTTGTGCATTTCAGCGTTTGTGCATGATGAATGATGTTATTAATTATTATTACTTATTATAGTAAATAGATTAATTAATATACCTCTTATCTATGGGTTTGAATGTGATAGTGATATAGAAAATGGTATAAACCGGGTATAAAATTATTTTATGTTCGTGGTATAAGACTATGATAGTGTTAGTATCATTATGAAGGTTTAACGGTAAACACACTACAAACATTAAAATGTATTATTAGAATTGCGGATAACATACAACAGGTATATTATAATCTCTTGTACCTACTGGTGCGCGGAAGCATTGTGACGGAAACATTATCACGTGATAACTGATAAGCGAACCATAAGCTTAGCTACATGTCGGCGCGCGTCGTGTGGTTAAAAATTGAAAATGCAATTTCTAAAAATTTTGAATAGCTCTCAAGCATAGAGTTTTGCATTAATTAATGTTATTCATTCTCTAAAATGTATTTAAAAATATCCTTTACATTATGATTGCAAARAAAGTATAAGCTTCCATTTGAATTTTTAAAGTTGACCACTCAAAACCCCCCTAAAATTTTGTAAACATTTATTAAATTGTGAAATCATAATAGATGTTTTTAAATAAATAMACTTTTGTATCATACATTTTTCAGTATTTTGAATATTTATATGATAAAATGGCTGTAAAATAAATTTTGAATCACCCTGTATATTAAAAATGAATAGTGTACAATAAAATATGTACAGTGAAAAGGGTAAAATTTTACTTATTAAAAATAAGTTCGACTTATACTTAAATTTTTTGAATGCATTTTATGACGACCATATTTATACAAATTATTTATTATATTTAGTATATAGTATATTATACTAACATTTTTTTATTATTATAACATAATATATTATACCTATTATATTATTACGAATAACTTATGAAAATGTTTATACCTACTTATATTTTTATAAATGTATTTTATAACAAAAATTATTATACAAATTAATAAKACTACCCTTTTTCAACTGGGGTAGAATTGGTGCAAAAAAGGTTCTTGGGATGGAACTCAGATGCAGCATTTTATATAGTGATTTTATCCTCCACATAAAAATTACTAATTAAAAATGATAAGTGATATATTAATTTTCATTTCGTTTTTAWTTTTAGTTAAAAGAAGCAGATGATAAGTCTATATCTATGATATATATTTTGATTAAATAAAAGTCGTAAGTTGTCAAGAGATTTTAAATCTAGAAGTCATAAGAGAAAATTTATTATAACCATAATGTTTGTGTTCAGTATTAAATTGTGCACTTGGAACACGGTTTTTAAATCGTTTTTTCGAGCTCCTCTACTTAATTTTTCCAAATTTGAGCTCTATGTATTAACTGCTTTTTTATATTATTTAAWGATCAGGTAAACGTATGTACATTTTCTTTATTTTTGTAAATTATCATTTTTAAATGGTTAAACCCCCCGGATCATTTTTAGGCAGACATTTTCCCCTGATTTTTTTTTTAAATCTACTGCATAAAGYTTAATATATTGATTTGTGTATAGCGAGTACACATACGTTTACCCGAATACCCGGGTACGTTAATACCCTAGTATAAAAAARCAGTTTATACACAGTGCTGACAACTGTCTATACACTAACCAATATATTTCATATTTGATGATAAATAAAATATTATTAAGTTGTAGGTAGATTAAAAAAAATAATCAGTGGAAAATGTCTACATAAAAAATGTATTTGGGGGGGGGGGGCTATTTACCATTCAAAAATGATAATTTACAAAAATGAAGAAAATTTAAATATGTTTACCCGATCTTTAAATAACATAAGAATGCAGTTAAAACACAGTGCTCAAATTGGAAAAAAAAAGTAGAGGAGCTCAAAAAAAAAGATTTAGAAACCATGTTTCCTAGTGCAAAATTAAATACTGAACACAAACATGGTTATAATACATTTTCTCTTATGACTTCTAGATTTAAAATCTCTTCACAACTTACAACTTTTATTTAATTAAAATATATATCATAGATATAGACTTATTATCTGTTTCTTTCAACTAAAAATAAAAACGTAATAAAAATTAATATAAATTAATAATTTTAATTAGGATTATTTTTATCATGCCCTTTAAAACGTACATTTTGAAATATGTGGTGGATAAAATGGCTCTGTATTAAAGATTCAGTTCAGTAAATTACTTTTCATGTATTAACTGCTGTTTTATATCGTTTAATGATCGGGTAAACGTCCGAACATTTTCTTTATTCAACATTATAATCGTATCCAATCTTTCTTTAAAGGCGGTCCGTTCTTCTTCAACCAGTCCTAATCTGAATGTTATAAAATATTATTTATTATGATMTCGATTAACGTATTAAATTTATTATTTACTTATTTTGTAAYTCTATTAGTTTTTCATTTAGATTTAATTCTTTTTTTAATTGACGTGAGTCATTTTTTGATATTTTTTTAAATGTTGAATTGAAGTATTCCATCTTTGATTTCAAGTTCTGTGACACTCGTGTTTCCATTAAGTATTTATTCTTTTAAATAAATTTTTCAGTTAATATCATAAAATAWTTAATAATGAATAATTATAATGTACTTACTTTAAAATCAACAGCGATTAGAACATGCTCACAAATTTTATTGTGAGCTATGCTTAATAGGTCCACGAGTTGTCGATTTTCAAGTCCATTCAATTTCTATTTAATAAAACTATATTATAACCCTTTGATGATATTATTAATTAATTTTATTAGTTAATTACCTTTATAAAAATATCTTTAGGATCCGAAAAATCAATTGAACACATATTACCATCTCTGTAAAGTATTAGTCGTATTAGAATTTGGTACTTTATGCATCATCATTCAAATATATCTACTACTATTATTACTTACTGAATTTTTTCATTAGTGGTATGTATTTTAAATTCTAAATCAGATATTCTCATATCTCTTTCCTTCAAATCGGATGTTTGTTGTTCAATTATTTTTGACGCCTGTAATCATTTTTAAAATTTTATAAATCATGTTAACTATTAATGTATACTTAAACATACTTTTTCATATTTTGACTGAAGGGATATTATAGATTTTTCTAAWTTTGTAACAGATACTTTATTTTTAAGTTTTTGTATGTTAGTGTCACTTAACTCAGTCTACAAATAAATTAAAAACATTATTATAATTATCTAATTATTATGTCAGTAAAATAACACATTGACAATACTTTTAATTTATCAATAAGCTGGTGATCAGATTCAGACTTCAACAATAAATTTTGCACATGAACTCTTAAAGCAGTAATTTCTACATCCAATGCTTTACTTCGTCCTTTCCAAATTTCCACTGATTTAGTCAACTCTTCTACCTTTGATTGAGAATCTTTTAATTTACGGTCATTAATTTCTGTACTTGCTTTCTCCATTTTTCTTGTGTTTACTAAAGAATTATATTGGTTATGTTATGTTTGTAG